AATAATAATAACAAATAAATAAAAATAACAATAATAATAGATAAAAACAAATATATAAAATAGATAAAATTAATAATAATAATAATAATAATAATAATAATAATAATAATTAATAATAATAATAATAATAATAATAATGATAATAAAAAGGAAAACGGAAAGGGAAATCGCCCCTTCCTTCAACACCCCTCCCAACCCCCCCCACCCCACCCTACTGAACCAACCCCCCCCACCCATCCCCTCACCCCAACGCCCCAAACTTAGCCGAGGGCGTAAAAGTTTGTCCCGCCTCACCCGGGGCGTATCTACCGTACACTCTCCTGGATGCCTCCTAATTGGTAGTTAGTCGAGTTGGCCTTTCTGGACTTATCCATTATCATCTAAGTTGATTGCAACTTGCCGGCATAAGGAGGTTTAAGGAAATGGTGGGGAGAGGGTAGGGGTTGAGAAAGGGGTGTGGGAGAGGGTAGGTTGGAGGAGTAGGGTAGAGGGAGGGGGGGGGTTAGGAGAGGGGTAGGCTTGGAGGAAGGGGTAAGGTCACTGGAGGGGGGAGGGAGAGGGGTAGGGGTTGGAGGAAAGGGGGAGCGGTAGGGGCGTAGGGTTGAGGGGTAGAGGGAGGGTGAGGAAAGGCGTTAGGGGAGAAAGGGGGAGAGGGTAGGGGTGGGAGGGAGGGGGGAGGGGGAGGAGAGGGGTTGGGGTAGGTAGTGGGGAGGTGAGAAGGGTGAGGAGGGGGAAGGGAGGCGGAGGGGGGGTGGGAGGGGGTAGAGGTAGGGTGGTAGGGGGTTGGATGGAAAGGGTAGGGGAGGGGGGGTTAGGGTTGGAGGAAAGGGGTAGAGGGAGGGGGGTAGGGGTTGGAGGAAAGGGTAGAGGGAGGGGGGGGTAGGGAGGGGGGTAGGGGTTGGAGGAAAGGGGGAGAGGGGAGGGGGAGAGGGAGAGAGGAGTGGAGTGATGGGGAAGGAGAGGGAGAGTGTGAAGGAAAGGGCGAGAGAGGAGGGGGAGGGAGGAGAGAGAGGAGTGGTGGGGAGGGAGTGGGAGGGGGAATACAGAAAGAGAAGAGGGGAAAGGGAGAGAGAGAAGGGAAAAGATGAGAGAGCGAAGTAGGAGAGGATGGGAGAGGGAAAGGTCAGAGAAAGAGAGAGTAGCTTGAAACAGGAAAGAGGAAGAGGGAGCGAGGCGAGGAGAGGGAGAAAGGTAAGAGGGGGGGTGAGGGGAATGGAGGAGAGAGGGGCGGGAGAGGGCGGGGGAAGGGCAGTAGTGGGGGAAGGGAGAGGGAGGGCGAGGGAAGAAGGATAGGAGAGGGAGGGAGAGGAGATGGGAGAGGGAAGGGAGAGGGAGAGGGAGTGAGGAGAGAAGGGATATCTGTTACCAACTTTAAGTAGTTCGGAAACTCTCAATGGTAGCAAATGAAGACGCTGGTGATGAAGTAGATAATTATAATTCTTTCTTTATTTTTTAAATTTGAATTAAGTCTGTTTATAGATTTCACAAACACATACACACGCGCGCGCACACACACACACTTAATTATATGTATATGTATATGTAAATGTAAATGTATGTGTATATGTATAATGTATATATGTGTATATATGTATATGTATATATAATATATATATTATATATTATATATATATATACATATATACATGCACACACACACACACACACACACACACACACACACACACACACACACACACACACACACACACACGTATATATCTAAACAGTTTATGTAAGCATTCCTCCACTTGTTTTCAGAATTAATGGTAATATCATTCAATTAATCATTTGATCAACTTGTCCATCAATATATTTCCTGTCTAAACATTAATCTTCCCGAGCCTTTGTCCGGCTAATTTCCTGACTAACTATTTCTCTGCCAAACTACCCAATTATCTGCCTGGCTGACGGCTGTTTCCTAGCTGTCTGTCAGGGTCTTTGGCCGATTGTCTGTCCCCTCTTGTTTGTCTCTGAGTTCGTCTGCCTACTTCGTTTGTTTTGTGTTTGTTTGTTTGTTTGACTGTGTATCTGTGAATACTGGTGGAATGTCTGCAGATTTTATGTCTGTCTTTTCTATTTTGTTTTTCTTTGTGTGTGTGTGTGTGTTGGTGTCTGCTTGTATATTTGTCTGTCTGTATATATGTCAGTCCTTATATGTCTGTCTGTTTGCCTGTCTATCTTTTTGTGTCTGTTTGTATGTATGTGTATATTTATATTGTATATGTATGTACGTGTGCATGTATATCTGTACTTATGTAAGTATGCAAGTTTGCTTACACCTTTCTATCTGCTTTTGTTTCTCTCTTTATAACCCTGTTATTCTCTTGTAAATCATCTATCGGTTTGTTTGTTTGTTTGTTTTTTCGTTTTTATCGTTATCTTTTACTCTCTTAACGTTCATATTTTGTCTGGTTGTTTTCTTCCTATCCATTCTATACAGAACATCCTGCAAATTTTATGATAAAACCTCTACATTAATATTTGCGGAAAAATTATAAATGTACTAAGTTTGGGAAAGTATGCAGCATTTGGGATTTTTTTTATTTCTTCGGGCAGTTTTATTCACTCGTAATGATTTTGTGTCATTAATATTTTTAAAGGATTCACCGGTACTCTGTTAAAGGGAGATGTTCACCGTGCTTTGTTCTTACTCCGAATTGTAGTTACATTATTTGTACTACAATTATTAAAAGGCCCAGAATTTAGGGTTGAATTTGATCGAATACATTTTGTCTTCCTGATTACGTTATGGAAGTACTTGATTTTTCTTTTTTTTTTTTACTTAACCGGCCCATTTTCTTTTCTTTTTTCCTTTATTCCTTCTCATTCCATTTCTCTTCCTACCTGCTCCTTGTCCTTTCATTCTTTCTTTCTCTCTTCCTGATTCCATCCTTTTCTAAAATGTGATTTGAATATTTTTGGACATAATAAAGATTATCGTTAGTTTTAACATTATTGATGTTGATATCATAATGATACTTAATACATTAATACTCTCTCTCTCTCTCTCTCTCTCTCTCTCTTGCTCTCTCTCGCTCTCTCTCTCTCTCTCTTTCTCTCTCTCTCTCTCTCTTCTCTCTCTCTCTCTCTCTCTCTCTCTCTCTCTCTCTCTCTCTCTCTCTCTCTCTCTCTCTCTCTCTCTCTCTCTCTCTCTCTCTCTCTCTCTCTCTCTCTTACACACACACCGACACACACATATTGTATCTCTCTCTCTCTCTCTCTCTCTGCAACAGTATCACGCAATGCCACACAAACACCCTCCCACTCACCCCCAGAAAACACCTACACCTTGAAGAAAACAAAACAAAACAAAACTACACCTTGAAAAAAAAAAAAAAAAAAAAACTCACCGAGGGAAGCTCCGTCAACGCCACGAGATTCAGCATCGTGTGGGCGGTGGTGGAGAGGTTGAGGGCGTGGGTGGTTTCGCTCGTGAGGGAGTACTGAGACGGGACGAGCTTCCTGTCGCCCACTTCCCCACTCGGCTCCCACCAGGCGCCGTGTCGAGCTTGTTGACCCAGGACGTATCTGCATTAAGGAGGAGAGGAGAACGTTGGGTTAGGTTTAAACGTTTCGATGTGTGTGGGGTTTGGTGTAAACGTTTGGAGATACGTGGGGTTCGGTGTAAACGTTTTGGTGAAACGTTTGGGAATGTGGGGTTCGATGGGTTTGGGTTTGGAGATATGTGGGGTTTGGTGTAAACGTTTGGAGATATGTGGGGTTTGGTGTAAACGTTTGAAGATACATGGGGTTCGGAGTAAACGTTTTGGTGAAACGTTTGGTAATGTGGGGTTCGATGGGTGGGGTTTGGTGTAAACGTTTGGAGATACATGTTCGGGTAAACGTTTGGTGTGAAACGTTTGTAATGTGGGGCTCGATTGTGGGGTTTGGTGTAAACGTTTGGAGATAGTGGGGTTTGATGGAATGTTTGGGAATGTGGGGTTCGAAGCATTTGGTGATGGGTGGGGTTGATATGTTGGAGGAAAAGTTGACGATATGTGTGATTGTTTAGTGAAACATTTGGTGAATGGTGTGGAGGGTTTGAAACGTTTGGTGATGCGTGGGGTTCAAATATTTGTAAAATATGTGGGGTTGAAACGTTTGGTGAATGACATGTGGGGTTGAAATATCTGGTTATGTGTGGGGTTGAAACGTTTAGGGATGAGTGGGGTTGAAACGTTTCGTAATTTGTGGTATGCACTGAGTTGAAACGTTTGGTGATATGGTGTGATTGTAACGCTGGAGAAAATGTTTTGTGAAACGTTTCGTAGCATGTGTGATTAATCGTTGGATAAAACATTTTTATAGGCGTGGGTCTGTAACTGAGGAAATTTTCTGCTATGAATTCTGTTAGAAATACGTAATTAAAACATCAGAGAAAACGTTTGAGTGAACGTTGGGCTGAAATATTTGGTGAAACGTTACTTAAAACGTTGGGTTAAGACTGGGCGAAAATGGGTGATGAAATATTTGAAGAAATGATAATATTATCTATAACTTCGAAGAAACGTCAAGTAAAATGTTTATCCGGTAATATATTTGGTGGAAATTTAGTCTGAGAAGTTTAGTGGATCGATAGTTAAAATGTTTATGCTAAAAGTTTTGCGATGTTTAGCGATGCGTTTCAGAAGACTTTGGGTATAACCTTGGATGAAACGCTAGGTGTCAGAGAAGCGTGTAGTGTGTGTGTGTGTGTGTGTGTGTGTGTGTGTGTGTGTGTGTGTGTGTGTGTGTGTGTGTGTGTGTGTGTGTGTGTGTTATTCCGGCCAAAAAATACATATATATACATTTGATCTCTATATCAAATATCTCTTTACCCAAGCATTCAAAAATTGCCTAATAACATCAAACAAAAAAGAAAGAAATGAAGAAAGAAATGAAAAAAAAAAACTCCCCCCCCCCACACCACCCCCCTCCCCCCTCCCTCCCACCTCCACCCCCCCCCCAAAAAAAAAAAAATCTTCCCGCTCTCCCCAGACACGTTATAAGACTCGAAGCGCAGAGGGGGAGGATCTTGGCGTAAGCGGCGCTAAGGAGACCGAGAGCTTCAAACTGCAAAGTGTGTAGAGAGTCTCGCAGAATCTCGCTGCTTCCCGCGAGACCTCTCGAGACGCGGCTAATTGGACTTTGAGAAGGTTCAAGGAGTTTTATTAGTTGTTACACGGAGCGGAAAGAGGGATGCTGGGGGGGGGTCAGGGCCTGGGGAGAAGGGGGAGGTGGGGAGGGTCAGGGCCTGGGGAGGATGGGAGGAGGTCAGGGCCTGGGGAGGAGGGGGGTGAGGAGGGGTGGGGGAGGGTAAGGAGGTAGGAAGAAGGGAGAGGGAAAACTGGGGTGGGGTTTGGTGGGTGGGGAGGGCCAGGAAGTGGGGAGGAGGGGGATAGCCAGGAAGTAAGAGGAGGGAGTGGGTCAGGAAGTAAAGAGGAAGGGGTGGGTCAGCAAGTAGGGAGGAGAGTGGGAGGGTAAGGGCGTGAGGAGGAGGGGGAGGAGGGATGGTAAGGAAGTAGGGAGGGTAAGGATGTAGGAAAGAAGGGAGGGGAGAAAACTGGGTCGGCGAGGACGGTAAGGAAGTAGAAAGAAGGGGGGAGGGGATAAAAGTGGGGAAAGGAGGGGAAGGGGGGTAAGAGTAGGAGCAGAGCAAGCTGGAGGGGCACAAGGGGAGGGAGGGTGAAGGCTGGATAGAAGGGGGGGCGAGTGGTAAGAGGAACAGGAAGGGAATAGGGGATAGGAGAAGGGTATAACAAAGGGGGATAGGAGAAAGTGGAGGAACAGGGTAGGGGCAAGGAAGAGTTAGAGGAGGGGAGAAGGAGTGGGGGGGGGGGGAAGAGAGTACAAGAAGGGAACAAGGAAAGGGAAGGAAGGAGAGTGGGATGGGGGGAACAAGGAAGGGACAAAAAAAGGGGAAGGAAGGGGGAAAAGGGGTGGGGTGGGGGGGGGGGAACAGGAAAGTGGAAGAAAGGGGGAAGAGGGGGAAACAAGAAGGGGAATGGGAAGAAAGGAAGGGTAGGGAGGGGAAAGAGTAGAGGGGGAAGGTGTTGGGGCGTTTATCTCGACTCGGAAGCTTCGAGGTTTACCGAGTTTTGAGGAGTTTGTCGATCTTACTTTCCGTTATTTTTTATTATATAATTAAAATTTTAATTTGTGCGTTTTTTTTTTTTTATGATTCTTTGTCACTGTTTGCCTGCCTGCATACCTGTCTGTCTCTCTCTCTCTCTCATTTCCTGTCCTTCTCCCTCCTTCCTTCTCTCTCTCTCTCTCTCTCCTCTCTCTCTCTTCTCTCTCTCTCTCTCCTCTCTCTCTCTCTCTCTCTCTCTCTCTTCTCTTTCTCTCTTCTCTTTTCTCTCTCTCACATCACACCTTCTTCTCTCTCTCTCTCTCGCCTTTTCTCTCTCTCTCTCTCTCCTCTCTCTCTCTCTCTCTCTCTCTCCTCTCTCTCTCTCTCTCTCTCTCTCTCTCTCTCTCTCTCTCTCTCTCTCTCTCTCTCTTTTCTCTTCTCTATCTCTCTCTCTCTTCTTTCTCTCTCACACCTTCTTTCTCTCTCTCACACCTTCTCTCTCGCCTTCTCTCTCTCTCTCTCTCTCTCTTCTCTCTCTCTCTCTCTCTCTCTCTCTCTCTCTCTCTCTCTCTCTCTCTCTCTCTCTCTCTCTCTCTCTCTCTCTCTCTCTCTCTCTCCTTCTTTCTTAAAGTTTTGAAGCGAAAAGAGAAGTAAATAAGATAAAAGAAGGAGATGAAACCATTTCAACTTGGAACTTCAGGAAAGTTCAAATAAATACGCGAATTTTGCCAGTCCATTTTCAGCCATCGATGTCGACCTCTCTTTGTCTTTCTCGAGTCTTGTATCGACACATAGTCATCTTTACATATTTTCTCGTCATCGTCATCATCCTCATCATTCATTATCTTGATCACCATTTCTATCATCATATTCATCATTCGTCAGTATGATTTATGATCGCCTTTATCTATCATCACCATTTAGCATCACCATTCATCACTCAACTTCCTCATTCAACCACCATTCCTCCACCATCATCAACAAACATGCTTCACCCCCATCACAAAAATCCTTCATCACCGTTAACCCTTCCAACACCATGCTTCACTACCATCACCCTATTCCACCATTCCTCATCATCAACCTTAATCCTAATTCCCTTTCCAACCCCTTCACCACCACAATCACCCTATTCCACCATTCCTCATCATCAACCTTCATCCTAATTCCCTTTCCAACCCCTTCACCACCACTGCAACCAACTCCCATGGCACGGCCGCCCCTCGCATGACGGCCGGATTGCAAGGATCATGCAATCCGGATCCAAAGGAAGGTCGTGGCTAATGAGATATGTCCTAGAAGCATTGGAAGGGAAGGGAAGGGAGGTACTATAAGGAAGGGAAGGTACTATAAGGTATAAAGTGTAAGGTACGTAGTATGTGTTAAATAGTAGAAGGCAGAAGGCAAATGGTACAAAGTACACAAAGTACACCTTATAAAAGGCAAAGAAGTAAATAGGACAAGGTGTATTTCAAAAGGTACAAATCACATGATACTATGGATGTGGTATAAGGTACAAAGTACAATATAAAAGGTACAAAGTATGAGGTAAATGGGACAGTACAATATACGAATTATAAGGTACAAAAATGATAATAAAATCAGTAGAGGATGGTTGGGTCCATACGGTACATGTGCTCATTTAAACGCAAGGGTTATTAAAGATTTTTTCGTATCATTTTTTTTACTTTTTTTTTTCTTTATAAATCGGGCACTCCATTAGATTTTTTATCATCATTAGCATCTTTAATTCCGAGATTTTTTTCCTTTTAATTTCGCTCCTTATTTGAACTACTAAAATTATTTGCCATAAGGGAGCGAGGTTTCTTAATTTTAACTAGGTCATATTATCTAGTCTTCTGTATTATTGCTGATGTTATCATTAAAACATTCACACAACACACTACAACACACCACACACACACACACACACACACACACACCACACACACACACACACACACACACACACACACACACACACACACACACACACACACACACACAACACACACACACACACACACACACACACACACACCACACACACCACACAACCAACACACACACACTCACTCACTCACTCATCACTCACACCCACACACACACACACACACAACATTATATATATATATATATATATATATATATATATATATATATATATATATATATAATATATATATATATATATATATATATATAATATGCAATACTGCATCTTTATCCTGAACATTATAACCTCTCCGATTGGGATTCGACCCCTCGCCGCCAATACACGTGAATGCAAGACGGCCGCTCTACCACTCGTACAACGACCCAACAAAAGGAGTGAGCAACTAGGCGCTTAGTAGCATCCATAGACTTTACCTACCTACTCATACATGAGTACGGATAGCGAAGTTTCACACTCACTCTCCGGGCCACTCGGTATAGTGGGTCGTTGCACGAGTGGTAGAGCGGCCGTCTTGCATTCACGTGCATTGGCGGCGAGGGATCGAATCCCGATCGGAGAGGTTATAATGTTCATAAAATATATATATATATATATAATATATATATATATATATATATATATATATAATAATATATATATATATATATATATATATATATATATACATATATACATATATATATATATATATATACATATATATGTATATATGTATACATGGATCTGTCTAGTCGCATATATCAATTCATTCATTCATTTAGGCATATATAAGAAGAACAGCCTGCATTTCCCCACATCCGTCCGAAGAGAAATCGGATCCCTTCCTCCCGCACGAGAGGCAAAAGTCTCGAAGATCTTCCGATAAGACTCATGAGATTCTCAAACGCCTTTTCATACATCGACGTTCAATCTAGTTCATCTTAGTTCATCTCTGTGTATTGCCGGTCGGGCTCGCTTCTCTCCGTTGATCTCCGTTCGGTCTTTCGTGTCCGTTCATCTCTGTTCAGTCTTGTTTATCCCGTTCATCGCCGTTCAGTGTAGTTCAGTCTTGTTTTATTCCTGTTCATCGCCGTTCATTGTCGTTCAGTCTTGTTTATCCCGTTCATCGCCGTTCAGTGTAGTTCAGTCTTGTTTTATTCCTGTTCATCGCCGTTCATTGTCGTTCAGTCTTGTTTATCCCGTTCATCGATGACGTTCATTGTCGTTCGGTCTTGTTTTATTCGCGTTAAGGCTCGTTCTTTAACGTCCATCCCTGTTCATTTCTGTTTAATTTCGGTCATTCCCGTGTATCCATGTTCATTTTCGTTCATGACCGTTCATTCACGTTTATTCTCGTTCATTCCTGTTAATTTCCGATCATCCCCTTTCGTTCTTGTTCATCCCCTTCCATCTATGTTCAGTCTTGTTTACTATTGCTCATTCCCCGTTCACCGTTATCAAATTTTGTTCATTTCCGTTCAACCCTGTTGATTTACGTTCCATCTTGTTCAGTCCCGTTCATGTCCGTTTCATCCTTTTCATCCCCGTTCTTCTCCCTATGATACCGTCAATCTCTGTTCACCGCAGTTCAATCTTGTTCACCCACATTCATCCACACTGAGCCTCGTTCAACCTCGTTCATCCCAATCTATTCCCGTTCATCTCCGTTCAATTCCTTCTCACCTCCGTTCAATTCTGTTCATCTCCGTTCAGTCTCGTTCACCTCCGTTCAATTCTGTTCACCTGCATTCAAGTTCGTTCACCTCCGTTCAATTCCTTCTCACCTCCGTTCAATCTCGTTCAACCTCCGAGGTGAAGGAAAGGAACCCATCTTACCTACCCCCCACCCCCACCACCACCCCACCCCACCATCGCCTCGAGGTGGATATATGCATAAATGATGACCCCGGATATAATCTCCGCATAAACGGTATTTGCATATCCAACCTCGTGGATAAAATGTTACTAATTTCGGGAATAACCTCCTCTTTCTTCCTCTCTTTTTTTCTCTCTCTTGTTCATTTTCTTTCTTCTTGTAAAGGTCAGAGAGGAAGGCGGGGGGGGAGGGGGTTAGGGGGTTAGGGGGATGGGAGAGAAGGAGGGGGGTAGGGGGGAAGGAAAAGAGGGAGGAGGGGGAAGGGAAGAGGGAGGAGGGGGAAGGGGAGGGGGAAGGGAGAAGAGGGGGAGGGAGGAAGGGGAAGGGGGAAGGGGGAAGAGAGGAAAGGGGAGGAGGGGGGAGGAGGGGGGGAGACAGGGGGAGAAGGGGAACAGGGCAGGAAAGGGGGAGAAGGGGAAGGGGAGAAGAGGGAGGAGCAGGGGGAGGGGAAGAGGGAAGGGGTAAGAGGAGGAAAGGGGGAAGAAGAAGGGGGAGGAGGGGGGGGTTAAACTTCGCAACGGGAGTGAAATGCAAAATGGATGACGCAATGAGAGGTTTCCTGTGATGAGGAATTCCGTCCGTAATATTTCGTTCCGATTCGGTTTAATAAGCGAGGCCGGCGTTCCTCCGGGCGATCGTTCAATTATAGCCTCCTCCTTCTTCCTTCTTTCTCTCTCTTCCTTCTCTCCCCTTCTCTTCTCTTCTCTTTTCTCTCTTCTCCTCTCTTCCCTTTTCTCTTCTCTTTTCTTCTCTTTTCTTCTCTTCTCTCTCTTTCTCGTCCCCTCTCTTCTCTTCTCTCTCTCTTCTCTCCCTCTCTCTCTCTCTCTCTCTCTCTCTCTCTCTCTCTCTCTCTCTCTCTCTCTCTCTCTCTCTCTCTCTCTCTCTCTCTCTCTCTCTCTCTCTCTCTCTCTCTCTTTATCACAAATCATCATCAACGTTCTTCCTCTTCGGGAAATGCTCTTGGAAAATGATGAGATAACCGGCCGGTCTGTTAAAATTGCGCCAGGACTGACCCAATGAATATTCATATATACAGATATACATATATACAAAAATAAATGAATATCTGTCCATCCATCTGAGTGATATACACCTTCATCTATCTATACGTGCAGTAGATATGCATATATAAACAGATAAAGGCATTTATTTCCGTGTATATGCATGTTTTTATAGCGAATATTATTCTTAACAATAATACTGATAGCAGACGATAACAGAAGAGGAGAGACTTAGATGCCATTAGCAAGACATATCCATCAACAAAAGCGATTAACGATGACTGAGAACACAGCAATTAAAAATAATAGGAAATAAAAATAACGAGTAAATGGTAGCTAAGAATTGGGGAAAACAATACTAAATTATCAAAAGTTATCGGACTAAAATATCCTAAAAAATAAATAGCAATGGCAGTTAAGAACAGAGGGTAACAGCATCTATCATTAATTAACAATGTGAAAAACAATAAAGCGAAACTGGAAGCAACATGAAAAGAATAACTGTTTACTGTGAAAAAATAGATAAAATAAAAATCAACAACGGAAAAAAACAAGCTATCAATATTAGAAAATTAAAAGATACAAAAATAACAAAGACAAAAAAAAAAAAAAAAAAAAAAAAAAAAAAAACAAGAGCAGCAGAAATTCGAAAGCTTGAAGTACTTAAAACAAACAAACAAGCAACAAAAAATTATCTATAACATGAAATCAGAAGCTCGAATTCACACAAACAAACAACAACAGCTATCTTACCTTAGAGCCTTGTCGGTGACCTGAGGATCCACGTAGAGCAAATGCGACCAGTTGACCGACACCTCGTTCAGAGCCCGGATGACGAGTGACGTCACCCACACGGAAGGCGTCTGGCTCGTTCTGGCGGGAAATTCAAAATGGTTATTTATGTCCCCTCTTCTTGCGAGTTATTATTATCATTCACTATTATTATCATTGTCATTGTTATTATTATTATTATTATTATTATTATTATTATTATTATTATTATTATTATTATTATTATTATTATTATTATTATTATCATTATTATTATCATCATTATTATTATTATTATTATCGTTATCATATTATAATCATTATCTATTATATTATTATATTATTATTATTAATATATTTTAATTTTCATACTATATTATATCATCATTATTATATTATTTATATTATTATATTATATTATTATTTATTATTTATTAATATTATTTATATTATCATTATTATCATTATTACATACCATTTACCATTATTAATTATTATATTTATCATTTATTATTATTATTATTATTATTATTATTATTATTATTATTATATATTATTATCATTATTATTATTATTATTATATTATTATTATTATATCATTATTATTATTATTTATTATTATTATTATTATTATTATATTATTATATTATTATTATTATTATTATTATTATTATTATTATTATTATTATATTATTATCATTATTATTATTATCATAATCTTTTATCATTATTATCATCATCATCATTTTACTTCCATGGTTCTTTCTTTGGTTCTTCCTTGTTCGAAATTTAATTCATATATATATTTTTTTCTGAATTCTTTTATCTCTGGATCGTCTGCTTCATAAACGTGTGAAAGTGTATTAATAAATATATGAACTTGCTTATGAAACATAAATTCCCATTAGATTAAGTTTTGACAGCTGATAGATTATTCAGTTATTCCCAGCCCCCCAGAAACATGTATTAATTAAACATTTAATCCAGGAGAGAGAGAAAAAAAAAACGAAAAAGAAGAAAGAGAAAAGAGGGAAAAGAAAATAAAGAAGTAGAAGAAGAAGACGAGGAGGAAGAAAACAATGATAAAGAAAAAAGAGAAAGAAGAAGGATGGAAAAGAAACAAGAACGAAAAGAAAAAAAGAGACACAGAAAAAAGACGAACAAAAAAAACAGGAATAAAAAGTACAAATGAAAAAACACCAAAACAAAGAAAAAAAAAGAAAGAAAAATGAAAAAAAAAGCGAGAACAGAGAAAATGCCAAGGGGAAAAAACAAGATAGAAAGAACGAATGCGATAAAAAAAGAAAAGAAAAAAATAAAAAAGAAGAAAAGAAAAGAAAAAAAAAAGAAAAGAAGAAAAGAAAAAAAACTAGAAAAGAGAAGAAAAGAAAAGAAGAAGAAGAGAAAAGAATGAGAGAAGAGAGAGAGAGAGAGAGAGAAGAGAGAGAGAGAGAGAGAGAGAGAGAGAGAGAGAGAGAGAGAGAGAGAGAGAGAGAGAGAGAGAGAGAGAGAGAGAGAGAGAGAGAGAGAGAGACAGAGCAGAGACAGAGACAGGACAGAAAGACAAAACCCCAGCCGTATCCCAACCTACCTGAAATACTTGAAGCCGCCCTCCCTCGTCTGGTACGCGAGCAGGGTCTGGTACAGGAGCGCCAGGCGTCGGAACACCTCCCGCTGGTTGATGGCCGGCTCCTGCTTCAGCTCGCTCCAGTGGCGCATCTGCAGCACGGTCGTCAGGAAGCTGAACACCACGGGCTCGCAGCCGACCTGTGGGCGGATGGGGGTGGAGGTGGATAGGGAGTTGGGGGTGGAAGTGGATTTTGGGGGGTGGAGGTGGATAGGGGGTGGGGGGTGGAAGGTGGATAGGGGGGGTTGTAGGTGAATGGGGTGAGTGCAAGGGCGTAGATAGGTGGAGGTGGATGGGTGGTTTGATGGGTGCGGGAGGGTGTAGGTGGATGTGGGTGAAGGTGTAAGGATGTGCGTGGGTGTGGGTGTGTCGGCGCATAGGCATGGGTGTGGGTAGGGTGTTGGTAGGGGTGCATGGGCGGTTAGGCGTGGCGGTGGGTGTATGGGCGTGAGGGTGGGTGTATGGTGTTCGGGGAGGGGAAGAGAGAGGGGTAAGTTAGTGATGAATAAAATTGGGTATGTGGTTTCCTTATCATCTATGAAAGAATAACAGTAATGAGAAAAAAAAACATCAATAGCAATTGTCATCACGATGATTATTATCATTATCATCATCATAATATCTAAAATATCAAGTTTAATCATATTAATAGCAACAAGAACAGTACAAAAGCAATAACAGTAATAATAATAATGATATAAACAATAATAATAATAACGATGATAATGATAATAATGAAAATAATAATGATAATGATAATAAGTGCAACAATAATACTAACATTAATAATGATCATGAAAATGATGATAATGATGATAATAATGAAAATAATGCTAATGATAAAAATATTGAAAATGATAATATGGAAAATGACAACGATAATAAAAAAAGTTTAGTAATAATAACAACAAAGATGACGATAAAATAACCATAACAAAAACAATAACAATAACGACGATGGCGATAACAACAATACCACCAACCACACACCAACAACACTAATCCAAACCACCCACCGTGGGAAGCCCCAGGAGCGTCTGAGCCGTCGCGGGCGTATCAGGAACGACGGCGCCCACAGTGTCCCCGAAAACAGCGACGTGGGCGTGATCAGAGCCTGGCACGTGACTGTCAGACATGTTGACGTCCAAGAAGGTGAAGAAATAGGCGCGGTTACTCAGGTCGAGAAGGAGGGAAGTGTGGAACTCCTGGGCGGCACCTTGGGGCTGTGGGGGAGGAGAGGGAGAGAGAGGAAGGGTTAATCTTGTGGAGATGAGAGAGGAAGGGAGGAAAGGTCAGTATTGTGAAGATGAGAGAGAGACAGAGAAAGAGGGGGGAGGGAGAGAGGGAGGGAGGGAGGGAGGAGGGAGGGAGGGAGGGAGGGAGGGAGGGAGGGAGGGAGAGGGAGAGAGAGAGAGAGAGAGAGAAGAGAGAGAGAGAGGAGAGAGGGGAGAGGGAGAGGAGAAGAGAGAGAGAGAGAGAGAGAGAGAGAGAGAGAGAGAGAGAGAGAGAAGAGAGAGAGAGAGAGAGAGAGAGAGAGAGAGAGAGAGAGGAGGAGAGAGAGAGAGAGAGAGAGAGAGAGAGAAGAGAAAGGGTGTTCAAATACAAGATGGAGATGGAGTTATGTTGATATGGTGTAGAAAGGGAAAAGGAAAGGCAGGGAGAAATAAATGTGTAAAAGGTGTGGGGGAGGAGAGGGGAGAGAGAGTGTTGATACCGTTCTGATAAGAGATGGAA